GGGTCGGGATTACAGCAAGACAGAGGACCTGTTTAATGGTGGTAGAGAGAAATCTCAATGGACAGCTGTACCGCGACGTGAACATTGTCCCTGTTGTTCAACCGTTTTTGCGTCGTCATGGCCCAGGCATTACCTTTCAACATGACAACGCTCGGCCTCATATAGCTCGACTTGTTCAGGATTGTCTTCAACAAAACAACGTGAATGTCATCGGAAAGGTCGGCTCGCTCCCCTGATCTCTCACCAATCGAGCACATGTGGGATGAGATGGATCGGCGCCTTCGACGTCAACCACGTGCTCCACAGACACTCCAGGAACTTCGAAACATGCTCCAGCAGATATGGACATATATCCCACAGGACTTTGTGCGAAGCCTGGACTATTCCATGAGACAAAGATGTGTTGCTTGCATCGCAACCAGAGGTGGACCCACATACTATTGATTTGTAAATTGACATTTTGGCATGTTCATGTTTTTTTTTTATGAAATCACGCATTTTTCTGAAGTCAGTATGGCAAATTAATCCATTTGAACACTTACAGGAGTCTTTTATCTGTTGCAAACCAAAATTGTTTCAGATTTGGTAAAAAACATAACTTTGCATTAAATCTTATCTTATCTTATGTAACAGGAAGTTTTGTTGTTCAGTGTATAACGACAGTCGGTGGATAAAGAACACATCTTGTGTGTCTCTCTGTTTACCCCTGAAGTCACGAAACGGCACCAAGCTGGTGTAACACGTATTGTGATCCCTTGATTGTAGGTCAGTTGGCTCCACGACAAAAGTGTGTGGACAATTCGCCCAGTTACGTCCCTTAAGCGCGCCAGGAACCTATCATCTGAGCACAATACTTGCACTCGTTGTAAACGTTTAAGACCTGCATCACTTACATGTATGTCTTTCCCTCCTCACCCGCATCCGCTGACACGTCATATAACTGAAAACCTAACTCATTCACTCTTTTCCCGAATCTACATTAGGTCCCCAGAATAAATTGTTTCTCGTATTTTCGTGTTCAGGTTGGGGACACAATATATATCCTCTACCTTTTGCATAGAATATATCATATCTAAGAGAACTTCTTGTTATAAGTTGAAACTCTTGTTTTAATAACGTAGCTATGAATTGCTGGTGTTTAATCAATGCTCACGCGTCAGCTCGCAAAATATTAAATGTGTGTAAATGCAAATTACACGAATCGAAATCACACCCGTTGACACGGAAATATTTCATTACATCCCGACAGTGTGGAAATTCAGCTGTTGCATGTGAACTCGTTCTGCAATCTCTCTCAACCCTTGATTATCTGACATAATTATGACATATATGTATGTTATTGAAGCAGTGATCTTGTACGGAGGATTATTTCCATTTGTCAGTAAGTACTTTTACCTAGCTCATCGCCTGTATCAGCTCATAATGTGTCTCGGGCCTATAGTGAGACGGTCGTATTTGCATATTTTCCCTCTACAAAATGTCCCAGTTTGAACCCCATATACATCTAAAACATATAAACCATGTAAACAGTATTGAAATGACCACTTGAAACACTGAAATAACATTATCACCCCTAGGATGTGTACAGAATTAGTTTGACATGTTTAGCTTCGTAAGTGTGCATCTTATTTTCTGCTGCACCATTTGGACAGCATGTAGGTGAATGGTTTTCTTCACTTTCTCCACCTTGTTTTAGCTACCAACAGTGTAACAACAATTACCTTCTTTTGACGTATTTTTTTATGATTGGTCGCTCTCCGGCTCTACCACTAGACCACATCTAGGTTAGAATGCGTCAATAATCAGACAAATGTGGGTTCGAATCTCATTTTCGCGATCATATCCATATATTTGTCAGCACCATATCCATGCTGCTCCCCACAGATTACAAACGTAGGACATGCCTCACACCGGGGTTGCCTCCCATCGGAAGCTGACACGCCTAAACTAAACTAAAACTAAAATAGCGTTCAAAGCTGAGTTAAAATGTAAAGACATCTCAGGTCCAGTACGAAGTTGCGCAATTAAATATTCCTGGAAACTCTTTAAACAAAAGAACAACCCTTCAGTATAAGAGCTGACAGTTATATCTGACCGAAACCTCTTCCCCCCTGTAACCAAGACATAGGGAACACTGTGAACCTGGCATTACTAAGTCCCGTAAATTTCGTAATGTTCAAAATAGACTAGTAAACACTCATAAATACAAATCACACGTTTAATAATAATTTCAGGCTCTTTACAGGTTATGGACGTATCGCACATCGCTTAGTCGTACCTTCACCTTCAACGCACACATTTAGGTCAACTCAGTCCGCATTTTTCAGATTTAAGCTTGTGGAAAGCGTAATGTGACGATGCACCGTCAGTATGTCACATTACTCACACTTCATCCCAGAAGGAACACGGTAGAGTAAGACCCATGTAGTTCCGTACTCGTTTCGATGAAGAATTAAAGTCCAGGGTCTCGTGCACCATAAATAACTTGATAATTGTTGTTTGTTATATGTCCAATACCTACATTTTAACTAATGCTGTGAAAGAATTTATGTTCGTTCGTAGATGCAAGTAGGTAAATAGGAGAAAATATTAAGGGAAATGTTTATAGTCAATAATGTTAAACATTGTCCTACAGTTCTGAAGTTACATATCACTTCATCAAGTGTATAGTGATGTTTCTAATGTGTTGTTTCAGCCTCCCAGAACAACACTGTTGCCCGTGTCAGGGAAAGAGTCCACATGTCCTGGAATGTACATCAAGAAGTTCCAGTGTTTAAGATCAAGTCTATCACACCTTCCAATGGGAAGCTCAGGCCTAATGATTCCAAGGTCCTGTTCTTAGTGGAGGAGTATACACATGTGTTTACAACTATCAACACACATACAGAGAATGGGACAAGGATTCAGCTGAGCTTCAGTACATCCCTGCAAGGAAGGACGCTGGTCAGTCTCACTTTCCACAGTGTTGAATTGTGCATGACGCCGGAGTGTACCAGTCTGTTGCCTACGACAGTGACAGGTCCGCTAACACATGGACTCAGCTTCTCATTGTACTGCGTAAGTATCGAGATAATCTGAGTATGATCAGTTTATCGCCCAATTGAACGCTCGTTTTTAAGACACGATAAAAGGAAGATTGTATGAGACGTGGAAATGATCTGAGGTGACATGTATCAACTAAAGAGATATTTTCTATCAATTTCGAAGTTTAGTTAAAGGCAATGTTCTTTTCAAAGAAGTCGTTGTGGAGATTAAGACCGCGAGGGTATTATCACCGACAATGGGTGATTGGGTATTTGTACATTTGTGGGGCAACTACTACGATTTGTCTCATTATAGAATAGAGATATAATACATTGGATAATCGAGGATGGATAAGTCACATCCATTAAAGATGTGCGTGCGCGAATGCGTTCGTGCGTGCATGCGTGCGTGCGTGCGTGCGTGCGTGCGTGCTTGCTTTCTTAAGACAGGATTGAATCTGGTTTAATAGTGCTAGTCGGGGGGAAATACCATGTCACAGATTAACATGAATACTCCACTCAGATACAGTATTCTCACTCAGATATATATACTCTCTCAGAGCCGACCAGTCCTTGTCTTATACCCTTAATGCCGAGCTTCAGACAGGGCAATATCAAGTACCATATTTTATGTTATGGGAACGAATATCCGGCCAGATGCTCTATCCACGAAACAGTAGTTGGACAATGCTTTGTAAATTCCCTATTCATCCATTAAATATTTGTTGGCTTTCGCAGGAATAAATAGGAAACAGGTCAAAGATCACATAGAAGTTCTTAGACACACTGAAAAAAAACATTCTGACAAGAGTGTATGTACATGATTTACCTAGAAGTTCATTATTATGCCATGCAGTAATGCCGACAGATATCAGACAGTTCTTTTGTCACGTTGCTCTCAGAGAAACCATCACAACCGAACATCAGCACGACATCTGCCGACCCTGTATCAGGTGGTCCTGTGACACTGACCTGCTCCTCCACCTCCCGGAGTCTTCCTCTAGACCGGTCTCTGTACCCGTATACCCTGAACACGTCCTACACCTGGAGGAGAAACAACAGGAGGGTGGAGAGCGGGGTACACGTGGAGGGGGCAGTCCTGACTATAGACAACGTCACCAAGGGGGACAAGGGTGTCTACACGTGTCAGTCTGAAGAAGAGGGCGTCCTGTCAGACTGGAGTCAGGAATACACTCTGAATGTTCTGTGTGAGTAGAGAAGCTGTTTTGGCAAAACACGTGTTAGTGTTTAAGGCTGGTATCATCACTATTTGATATTTATTCTTATAAACATGTTTATGATATAGTCGGAATCGTACAACTGACTCTGCTTTTGGCAGAGATCGCTAATGAATATAGAAAGGGATGTACAGCCATGGTAAAGTTCATGATCACAGGTATCTGCTATGGTAGGCCAAAACATTAAATTATTTATGTTATTCAGATGGACCCGACACAGTACAATTAAATGGCAACAGAGACAACGTGTCTGCAGTAGAAGGTGACCCTCTCACAGTGAGATGTTCTGCTGACTGTAACCCCGCCTGCACTGTGACCTGGTGGGACACATCCAGACAGAGGGTGATCACGGGACAGAGGGAGGCTGTGTTGTATATACCAGCTGTAGACAGATCTGTGTATGGACAGAACATGTGTCACGTCAGCAATACACACGGGAATACATCACGGAGCCTGACGCTGGATATACAGCGTAAGACTATATTGAAATTAAACTACATAAACTTAATAGTAATTACATCTTACCTATTACTTACAAAGCATAATTCCATGATTCCCGTTAAATCACATATACATATTATACACATATAATATTATAACGTGTTGACTTCCAAATTGAAACAATAAGTAAATTCAGAATTCAATGTGTAACCAACAAATATCAAAGAAATGATATAATATTGCGTTATAGGATTAACTTGGTATGCACATCAACACAAATTACTGCAAAATAATTACAATGGCAACACCAATAACAGGTACCTGCTGTGGTAGGCCAAAAAATTAAATTATTTATGTTATTCAGATGGACCCGACACAGTACAATTTAATGGCAACAGAGACAACGTGTCTGCAGTAGACGGTCACCCTCTCACAGTGAGATGTTCTGCTGACTGTAACCCCGCTTGCACTGTTACCTGGTGGGACACATCCAGACAGAGGGTGATCACGGGACAGAGGGGGGCTGTGTTGTATATACCAGCTGTAGACATGTCTGTGTCTGGACAGTACACGTGTCACGTCAACAATACACATGGAAGTACATCCCGCGACCTGACGCTGGGGGTTTTCTGTAAGAATTTCACAACTTATCTTGTGATAGACTGTAGTAACAGAATCAGTAGCATGAAAGCATTTATTTTGAAAAACATATCATGATTGATTCCATGTTCATTCACCCAATCTTGCTAAGCCCTGCACACGCTCACACACACACATACACACTCTTACACACACAGACACACACACAGACGCACACACAGACACACACACTCATTCCTAGAAGTTATATTTGCAAGGGAAAACAAGATTAGAAACATAAAAACTGCACGTTGACCATTTTGCAATTTCCAGCACCAGCACCAGCTGTAACTGGAGCCTGGGTCGTGGCAGTGGCTGCTGTCTGTTCTGTCCTGATCGTCACCATCGCTGTGGTCGTCATATTTGTTGTTCGTAGAAAACGGACACGTGAAGGTAATACTATGTTTAGTGAGAGTGACTGCGCACAATTTGAGAGTCATATTAACTGTTTTACCATAATATTTTAGAATCCTGTATTCTGATTTGTCCGCCGACGGTATCCAATCTACTTTAGGCCATAACTTTGCAGATGACCACATTACCACGAACGAAATATTTAGAAACACTTCTTTCGGAAAGCCGCCTGTTTGGCAATATCAAATATTGATCTTACTTCTTTAACGTTGCTGAAAAACGTGTCGCGGTTTCCACATTATTACCAGCAAGTGTGGCAGAATATTACAAGCAGAAAACGTTAAGAACAAATATTTAGAGAGTGTAAAGAGTTAACGCGTTCGGATCCGATTGCGTGTTACAAGTATCCAATCAACGTTCGTAAGCTCTATATCAATTACTCTAGGTTTATTTTCAAAATGAATACTGTAAATCTGGAAATTAATGCGTCTCCAAATAAATGGGACTGCTGGACTCTAACCAAAAATGCAACTCAATATCAATGCGACTGAACAAGCTTGACACGAGCGGGTAGAACTTTTGACAATAGCAGTGATAACTCACCGGATGCCTATTGTGTAATTCCTATTCTATGACTGACATTGTTATATACTTGTTACAACTGCTGCTCAACAAACCTTGTTTGTGCTTGTTTTCAGGTTGGTATTTCCGCTATCCAAAGTATGCAGTGAGGCGGTCTTATTGTTGGATGCGCATTTGGAGACACCACTCACATTTATTATACGCTCGCGTTAATTTCAAGAGTTACAGCATGTGGAGAAATTGGTTGTTTCCACATGCACCAGGCAGTGTAGGCCGGCATAAATGACCATAGATCAAGATATCAGAAACCGCCCTTCACTTACGTTGACTACGAATGAGTCGTGTATTTTTCTGATCGAATCATGTTAACGAAACAATTATCTTTCCTGACCTCAAATTGTACACAAGATATTCTGTGTTCAAAGTCTTCCTGAAGTCAATCACGTTATGTGGTGTGTACAGCTAAGGGTGTGTGTCGTCACGCGGAAATACTTCATTCGAGTCTCAATATTAGAGTAAAGGCAACAAATGAAAAATATATTATTATAAATACGAAATACGCGCAACAAGGACGACACTGTGGTCTTAAGTATTTATTTGGATGAACAGCTTTTTTTAGGTTGTTGTTAACCTCCGTGTCATACCGATAAAACAACATGAAATTGACGGTCTTGATGAGGCTCGTGTGTGTGTGGGTCGGGAGAGGAGGGGTTGTAATGATCATCTTTATTATTAATATTTCTGGGTCTAATCAGTTGTTTAGGTTTCTTCCTTATAGTTGACTTTGAATAAATGAAGAGACGGCAATGTTTCCCTGTCCTTGATGGCCATTATCAGTAATCATCATGGATCAAAAGCGAGTCTGTTTGAGGAAGGGGAATCTGAGACCGCCGTTTTAGGAACAGTATTACTAATGAGGTTACATGCATAACATTTCACTCTAATAAATACAGTAAAATACGGTTATAACGAACTATTTTAATTCGTTATAACCGTAGTTCGTTATAAGCAAATGTATGGAATATACACAGCAAAAGGACAGGACTAAAACAATAGTTCGTTATATCCGTCAGTTCGTTATAAGCGTGTTCGTTATAAACGTAGTTTACTGTATATCAGAGAAGATGTTAGGAATGGAATAAAAAGCTCACTTGAAAAGTTAGATCAGGTGATGAGATGAATTAAACGGCAACTGGGATGATATGTACTTGACAGTGTCTCTTCTCTCATTCAACCCAATATAGCATCTCATCATTTCTCTTACATGACTGTCAAGATATGCATGAACTGTTCATAAACATCACGACAATGGAAAATCAATAAATATCGCATGTCTTCATTTAGTCGATGTCATATAACCAAAATGACTTAACGAAAGAGTAATCGAGATAGTCTGACTTTTGTCATTTATGATGCAAAGCGATTTGAATTTATTTTAGTAATTTAGACGATGTTTGGTCTGGCACTTTTGTCAGTTCCATATTTCTGAACATTTGTGTTCTGTATGACTTTGCTGTGAACATGTAACGATCGACAGGGGACGTTGAGTTATATCCATGTTACCAGGGAATTCTTTGTAGGTATGATAGAAAACCTTAGTTAAATATGCAATGCAATGTCATGTTGTTACTTCGAACAAATGTATAGCATAGCTGGGCCTTCTGCCAGTAGATATTTACACTGGCTTTATGATATTAGTACTACTTCTTTGACACTTTTTCTACAACTAGGATAAACAGGCAGATTGTGTTGTCCGAAGTTCTAATTATTTATTAATATATCAAATGTATGCAATGATACGATTATTTAGTTTATCTGATATTTATCTTGAAATATGTATCCGTAATTATCTACACACATTTATAACTTTCAGAGAGGGGATACATTCATAGCCGGAAGTATCTGCTATTCATCAAGTCAAAAGGGTAAAAAGTTTATGTAAAAACAGTGATTTCAATAACACTGTATCTATACAGTTAAGTTGCCTTGATTAATTCCTTCTGCTTCAATCATTTTAAACGTCCCTCTCCTTAAGCGTGGTCGCATATACCCGGGACGAAGAAACAGACGGAAGCTACCAGGAAATAGAAGGTTGGTGTCGTAAATAATATTTAGTCATTTCAACGCCATGTCAATTATACTGGGCGAGGGGGCACGTGTGCCCAGTCGTCTAATGCGCCGTGATTCTCTGTGCAGAGTTAGGTCCCTTGGGCACGCCAGAAAACCTAGGATTGTGGGTTCCAATCCCGGTTCGCCCCGATTATGTTTCTAGGTTTGTCACCCGTGCTCGTGGGTTTCACCGAAGTAGTAAACGTCTGAGACCTGCATCACTTCGCTTTTTCATCCCACATCATACTGACACGCCGCGATATAACTGGAATACTGGCGTGGCTCACTAATATACCATTAGGTTCAAGGTATGCAATGACAAGGAGTCATCATTCTGTTATTCATCTTGTATTTTGTATACATAATTACCTGTCCAACGTTCTTACTTTCAGAGGGAGGATCCATTCAAAATCGGTGAGTATCTGCCATCGATCTTCAAGTTACTCTGATATGCGTGGCTATAACGGCGAAACTATACACAAGCTTTTAACACGATGTAACTTGAAAATGTATCACAGCTTATCTGTAGGCTAACTTGTCTCTTATTCCAATCTTTTTTTAATATTCATTGTCCCCAGCGTGGTCTCATATGTCCGGGATGAGGACAATGATGGGAGCTACCAGGAGATAGAAGGTTAGTGTCTTTCGGTTTTCTGCTGGTCTGATTGTGTAATGACCTGATCTAACGAGTTATTGTGAGTCAACCTATCTCCCTTCTAAAGCAAAAAGGCTAAGACCAGGAGTCAAATCATCATGGATGACATACTGTATAAGACGAGATGAAAATAATTACCATTCGCTTTACGGCATTCATGGAATGCCACTGGACATAATGAGAGAAACACATTGACGGGTACAAAATAAAGTTCACTAAAAATTCATTCATTCTGAATTTAGATATTGTATCTTTTAATACATATCCTGAAAACATCTCATCGACTTTAATGTCGTGATTCACAATTGCACATGGATTTTCATACACGACACACAATTGGGATATTTGTTGGGAGCATGATACTCACACACATGTATTTTAATGTAAACAATTCACAATGAATGTTTAGCTGTCAGGTGCTCAAAAAAGTTGGAAGACATTTGTTAAATAGTCAATAGTCAATAAATAGACAATAAGCATTGTCTCGAGAGGAATATAAAGTTCAATAAAAATAAATTAATTCTGAAATTGATAATGCATCTATCAATACATATTCATGAAGACATCTCCTCGACTTTAAGGTCGTGATTCACAATATAAAACATTGTTTAGACTAATGACCAAACGATATGTTGTTATTTTCAATTACGTAACATTTACACTACTATACATGAAGCACAGTTACCTTTTTTCCGTTAATTTATATAATGGGAACGTATTATATGTTTGTGAAATAGTTATATAGATGTTACTGTTCCACATTTTATCTGTGAGGTTAAAACATTTTAAAACTTTAAACTAATACGCCATGTTTGAGAAACAGATACAATGGCCTGGATAATTTTAATTGTATTTGTCAATGTCATTGACATTTCATACGACATTAATCCCCAATGTTTGAGACACGTCACTGCACGGTAGGCATTTTCCTGTGAAGTATCACATTGAATACACATGTGTTTAACTTTTGCCTTACACCAGAAGAGGTGAACGTAGACGACATCGCCCCTCTTGTAGCTGTCTACTCTGTTATGCTCACGGCTGTGGCGGTTGTGGTGGCAGCAGTTGCTATTCTTGTCTGCAAGGACGTAAAAGGTAAGGAAACAAATTACACTCTTACAGTTCATTTAACCTTATGTTCACCTTTTGCCAAGTATCTAGAAACGCTGAAGTCTTGTTTTGTCAGTGTCTTTCTTGGTGAAAATATATGTTTTGCGCGAAATTTCATTCATTAAAGAATTTGACACGTACAACGTTTCTTTACTTTCAGATGGTCACAGCAGAAGGTACATACATTTTGTATTGTTGCAGGTGAAATACTTGAGTTGTATGTTATAATTAGATCCCGGAGTAACTTCATATCGTTGGAAAACCCCCACCGATATTTCTCCTGTTTCTATTTAATGTAAAGCAACATAATTTTGAGTTACCTGAGATAATGATGACACAATAGTTAAATAAATCAATAGCTGTATTTTTATTTGTATCTTGTGATGGTAATTACTCCAATGAAATGTATGCTATGTATGTTTTGTACAGAAGGGTGGGAAAATGTTAAAGTTGTGCTTGTTTGAAGTCGGAGATGGATAATTTGTTACGAACAACAAGGTATTAGGTTGTAATACCAGCCGCATTTAAACAACACACATGTATCCTTCACTGTCTGTACAAGTCAATTTCATATGTAAGGTACAATTTGTGATAGACGTTTTACCTTGTAATTATAGATTTGCTGAATATCTCACTGTGGTGGGCGAGAGACTATCCTGTGACATCAGTGATGCACCTTGTGCTGCCATCAACGACGAGGATGCCTTATCCTTGCATGATTATGAGCGACTACTGAGGGAACAGTTCCACATCTACACGTGCCTCAACCCTTCAGGTTCCTCTACAGAGGACCGCCGTACCAGGTGCAGCCTTATGTGAGGGAACAGTTTCCCATCTACACGTGTCTCAACCCTTCAGGTTCCTCTACAGAAGACCGCCGTACCAGGTGCAGCCTTATGTGAGGGAACAGTTTCCCATCTACACGTGGCTCAACCTTTCAGTTTCCTCTACAGACGTCCACAGTACCAGGTGCAGCTTAATGTGAGGGAACAGTTCCACATCCACACGTCTGTCCATCCATCAGCTTCCTCTACAGACGGCCACAGTACCAGGTGCAGCCTAATGTGAGGCAACAGTTCCACATCCACACGTCTGTCTATCCATCAGCTTCCTCTACAGATGTCCACAGTACCAGGCACAGCCTCATGTGAGGGAACAGCCAAGGGGAAACGTTTACCCCGATGTGCGATGCAAGGAAAGCTTGAGGCCCTGACGTGTCATATGCATTGTTTCAATATATCAAGTGGAAGATCACATTGACATTAACATTTATGAAATATAATCGCTTTTAACAGTATTATAGAACATAGCTTCTGGCAGTTGCAGACCTCCAAACATGGTTCTCCTTTTCAACAGTTTTATATTGATTATGTTTGTTTATATGTGTACATATTGGTGCAATTAGTTCTTTTATGCCTCCATTGTTGTAATTGTCATCTGTGGTCATTACTGTGTTTGTTTTCATTTATTATTTGGCATCGTTTACTATGTGAGGGTCTCTGGAAGCCGATTTAATTGATTTCTATAGGTTTTGTATTGTCTTACTGTAAATAGTTCCACACTGATATCCTTGTTTTATCCTTGATGATTAATATTTTCTTTTATTGTGCCAGTTTTCGTTTCCTACCAAAGTGACTGCTTTTTAAAAAGGAAATGGGTAAAATGGATCACATGTATACATACAGATAAAATTCAGAACAGGGTTATTAAATAATTCCAGTTAATAGGTTTTTCTTTTTCAAGTACTGAAATGGAAATATCGAAATTAACTTCTGATGATGTCACTGCTGTTTACAAGGAATTCTGTGCGAAGAAGGAATATGCAACATTAAATAAACTTTATTGCAAATTGTATCACTTAATCATTTCATGTTTTGGATGGTACATGGGTATGTCATATATTAATCTGATTTGTAGACTTTGAATAGTCACTTCAGTGGGAATACTAACATTATAAGCTGACATTAAAAAAACGTGTAAATTAATAATTGTTTCAAGCGTTTGTTGATGATATATGTTCGTGTCGGTTCTGATTGTACTATTCACACACATGACAGTTAGTGAACTTCCACAACATAAACAAAATAACAGGACATTGAAAATGAGATCGAATTGATCACTTATGGTCCTTGCGTTTATGTATTCATACTTCAACTGATACAAAGAGATAAATTAATGTTTTTTAAACCTTTCTTATTTCGTTTCTATTTCCTTCTGACGTACGCTTCTGACAATTCGTGAGGACAAGGTCTTTGTATTTATGATACTAATATTGCGTATTTTAAGCCGTTTATAAAAGAACTTGTGAAATAAATCACTTGAATGTCACATTCATATGTCCAATGCATTCCAAGAAGGAAAGTTAGGATTGAATCGCCTTAGCCATCATGAATACTCAGTAATTGGCATCCTTCAATTTGTTCAACACACTGTCAACCACAGTTATAGTGATGCATCTATGATAGCATCCTGGGCATGATTTGAACCAGGCATTTGAAGGTAAGCAGTTTAGTATCGCAGCTGACGATTTGCGATCACGCATTCTTCAATTTGAGAAACAAACGAATATACAGTTAATTTCTTTATAGCATCTGTGTCGATAGACTGATAATATATGTTTAATCAACTGATCTTGCCTTATTGCAATATTTGTTGGGAAATTAATGCAAGTCAATACTGGCTATCTGCAAAACAAGGACCAAACTAAGTTTGCAGGAAAGATTGTCTTACCCGACATCGCTGCAACACGCAAATAAGGATAGCTTCCATGATACAACTGTTACACGCACATACTGCTATTTTCAGTCGATACACACGCACACGCACACGCACACGCACACGCACACGCACGCACGCACGTACGCACGCACACACACACACACAATTATGTGTTTAGGTTTGTCATCACCATTACCCATGCCCCTGTGTTTCACCGAAGTGGTAAACGTCTGAGACCTGCATCACTTCGGGCTTTCCTCCCACATTAAGCTGACACGCCGTGATATAACTTGAATACTGTTAAAAGCGGCGTTAAACCCAACTCACTCACTACATCACCAGACATTGAACACGTTCAAATGGATTAAACTATAATTACATACTGCACCCATCCTCAAAACACCAGAAAACACATCTACAATTGCGACGTTAAACCGAACTCACTCACTCATTCAATTTAGTGTGCAATTATAGTTAAATGTAGAAATGGGTGAGTGGGTGATTATGGTTTTACGCCGTTTTTAGCAATACTCCAGCAATATCAAGTCGGGGGACACCAGAAATGGGCTTCACACATTGTACCCATGTCGGGAGCCGAACCCGGGTCTTCTGCGTGACGAGCGAACGCTTTAACCACTAGGCTACCCGACCACCCTATATGTAGAAATGTCATTATCTACTCGTCTGTTTTTGATAATTATGGCAGTCACGGTAAAACCATGTGATAGCTCAGTCATGTGTACTCATGTATTTTACACATAGAGAGTTGAGCTTGATACAAGGTAAAAATGCACCAGATGATAAACACGAGGAAGCCTCTCGACAAGCGTGACACATGTTGTAGTCAAAATAGAAATAACATATAAAATAGTTCATACTTCCTTGTATTGACTATGTGAGCTGGTTGGTGACGAGATCAAATGCGTAGTTTGTTCAATGTTCCCGTTTACCCAAACATATGTATCCCATTATACCTGTTAGCCCTGATATGGTTTAGTCAAAGAAGGAGGACATAAGGTTTGCTTTATACAACACCCTCACATGACATAAGGTGTAGTATCACAACTCTTCATAATAAACAGAAACATATCTTGAATAAACATATAATTTATTCACATAGACATCCTCGAGTCGTTCACACACTTTAAACATGGCCGCCGAGTGACGCCTTCACTTACTGTTAGGGATTTAACATGCGCTTTCCATTATGCGTATTTTGCACACGGGTGACACGTTCGGGCATGTTCTCTGTATTTAGTAGAGAGAGCTTTATACTCAAACCCCTGAGTCAGCACGAGATAGTTGCTGACTTGGTTGAAGCATGTCATCGTATCCCAATTGCGTTGATCGATGCTCACGATGTAAATCACTGGATTGTCTGGTCCAGATTCGATTATTTACAGACCTCCGTCATATAGCTGGAATATTGCTAGTGCGGCGTTAAACAACAAACAAACAAACAAACACTAAATTCTATATAGCATCTGTCTCGATAGTCGAAAGTCAAATATCTAATGGCTCACTACATGTGACCTTGGCTAAAAGACCCTACATGCCTCACCCAGGTGCCATCCCGCGTGACAGTCCTAAACAGTAATGACCAGTGTACTGTACTGTGTAAAGTACTCCTTACCAGGTTTAGTAGCAGAGAGACCGCCTCCGTGGTTTGGTGGGAGAGCGTCCGCCTGGAGAGCTGAAGGTCCGGTGTTCGATCCCCGACCGCGTAATACCAAAAGACGTTAAAAGATGGTATTCCTTGTTACCCTGTCTGACGCTCGGCATTAAGGGGCTAAAACAAGGACTGGTCGGCTCGGAGTCAATATACTGTGTCTGAGTGGGGTATTCATGTTAAACTGCTGCATGGTATCGAATGGATTGCGTACCCCTTTGATAAGTGTAAATGTAGGAATATATGAAAATATGTGGTGTTTCATAACTCTCGTTTTACCCCAGTGGGTGTCTGGCGTCACTGTTTCACCGGAAATATTTCGTCGAGGCTAAATGCCCCTGAACAAAATGCTCATATCATTCATACTAAAATGAAAAGGGAAGCTGAAAGTTTAACGTATGTACGCTTGACCTTGATTACCGAATGAATAAGGCTTCAACCAGGAAACTAGAGGGAGAGTAGAGCGGGTTTTCCAAGGTTTAACGTCAAACCCATAGAGTCAAATAAGATGAGAAAATGAGGAAGTTACACTTTCAATTTTCAAAGTCAAAAGCATTCCATTCTAATGACCTTGCACGACGCCACGTGTGTTGTACTGATGGTCGCCTCAAATACAGATAAACTTACTGTATTGGTTCTCCATGTGAACTCTCTATAATTAGACCCGTGAAGATCCAGGGTAGAATAGGTCTTCAGCAACCTATGCTTGCTGTAAAAGGCGACTGTGCTTGTCGAAAAGGCGACTAACGGGATCGGGTGGTCAGGCTCGCTGACTTCGTTGATGCATGTCATCGTATTCCTATTGCGTAGATCGATGCTCATTATATTAATCCTGGATTGTCTGGTCCAGACTCAATTATCTAAAGACCGCCGTCATATAGCTTGAATATTGTTGAGTGCGGCGTTAAACACCAAACCAACCAACCAACTCAAATATAATGATTAAGTTTACACAACACATATCAGTGAAACTTTGTATCTAAAATTAATCCGAGTGTTGAACAGGCAACTGGTTTCATTAAAACCTCCTGTTTCAAATATACACTCACAACAAAACGGACAACTGATGATGGCGCAGAGGAAATGGACAGTTCCTGGGATGGATGTATCTCGAGAAATGCCTACATGTACCATTAATATATCCCACAACAAAATGACAAGAAAATATTGATATTGTTTACATTCCTTAACAATCGGTTGATATAAAACAGTGTATAGTTATTCAATCAGAAAGATAACGTTTTGATTATATGTGTTTCTCTTTCCTTCTTCTTTCATACGAATCTCGTGATCCATATATTTGTTTCAGACAAGCAACAGTATATGTAATTAATGAAGCATACATGTTTGATGTGGGGAATCTCATGTAAATATTTGAGTTGAAGATGGCTCCTCTAAGCTTTCTGGCTTTTAATCAGGATCGGTCTAAATATTTCAAAGACATAGATTATTTGGACGAAATGCCTTGTTAATTGTGCATGTGGTGGCAACTTGTCATCAGGTGACGTTCAGCAAGAGAGTGACGGAGAGTAGTCGAACGATTAATCGTGTTTGCCACGTCCCCTCTGGAGTCGCCTTAGGCAAGTGAACTCTGTTTACCCATCAGTTGAATGGGTACCCGGTAGAAGATGTTAATGTGACAGTTAACTAACAGTTAACAGTCTACCACCGTTATGAATTGGAAACTGCGCGCTGTACAATTATACATTATATGTTAATATACTCAACAACAAAAGTTCCGGTGACACCAATATTTTAGTGTATTTTTCAAACAAGTAAAGTTTGGTTTTCAATATTGTAGTACATGTATGGAATCAAGTCACAAAAACGCAACTGCTACAGAAAAGCATGCATTCCATGCAAAAGTTGACTTTAATGCAAGCTCCATGCATTTCACTACCCAAGAATGGGTATAAAAACATGTGCGTTATCGGGATTCCATATGCATTGTTTAGCATCGTGCTGACAACAACCACTCAGAAAAACAACAAAATAACGCATTTATTCAACATTACGAAATGCCACGCCTGTCCGAAAATGAGCGTCTGCGAGCCATTGGTATGCTTGAAGCAGGATCGAGTCAACGTGTTGTTGCAAGCCAATTTAACGTCCACAGAAACACCATTTGGTGTTTATGGCAACGTTGGCAACAGACGAATGCAGTCAGAGACCATCCTCGGAGTGGCAGGCCAAGCGTAACCAATAATCAACAAGACAACTGGATTCGAACAACACACCTACGAAATCGATTCCAGCCAGCAACTGTGACTGCAAGAAGCATCCCTGGCCTTAAACGAATATCTTCACAAATCGTACTTTGCCGCCTCAGATGTGCAGGGATTGTCGCCAGAAGACCCGCCAGACGTCCCATTTTGACAGGAAACCACCGTCAAGGACGTCTACAGTGGTGCAGACAGCATCTACGCTGGACGGCCATGCAGAAGAGTCACTGAAGAGTCTCGTTTTCACCTCAGCCACAACGATGGACGGATTCGAGTGTACCGACGTCGAGGTGAACGTTACGTCAATCATTGTGTCATGGAAGAAGATCGGTTCGGGGGCGGCAGCGTTATGGTACAGGGTGGGATAACAGCAAAAGAGAGGACCCGTGTGAAAGTTGTAGAGGGAAATCTCAATGGACAGCGCTACCGCGATGAAATCATCGTCCCTGTTGTTCAACCGTTTATGCGTCGTCATGGCCCAGGCATTACCTTTCAACATGACAACGCTCGGCCTCATATTGCTCGACTTGTTCAGGATTATCTTCAACAAATGAATGTCATCACCTGGTCGGCTCGCTCCCCTGATCTCTCATCAATCGAGTACATGTGGGATGAGATCGATCGGCGCCTTCGACGACAACCACGTGTTCCACAGACACTCCAGGTACTTCGAAACATGCTCCAGCAAATATGGACAGATTTTCCAAAGGATTTTGTGCGACGCCTGGTCCATTCCATGAGACGAAGATGTGTCGCTTGCATCGCAACAGGAGATGGACACACACGCTATTAATTTGTAAATTGACATTTTGGCATGTTCATGTTTTTTTTATGAAATCACGCATTTTCCCGAAGTCAGTATGGAAAATTAAACCATTTGAACACTTAGAGGAGTCTTTTATCTGTTGCAAACCGAAATTGTTTTAGATTTGGTAAAAAACATAACTTTGCATTAAATCTTATTCAATGTCACAGGACCTTTTGTTGTTCAGTATATAACGACAGCCCGGTGGATAAAGAACAAATCTTGTGTGTCTCTCTGTTTACCCCTGAAGTCACGAAACGGCCCCAAGCTGGTGTAATACGTATTGTGATACCCCGATTGTAGGTCAGTGGGCTCCATGACAAAAGTGTGGGGACAATTCGCCCAGTTACGTCCCTTAAGCGTGCCAGGAACCTATCATCTGAGCACAATACTTGTACTCGTTGTAAACGTCTAAGGCCTGCATCACTTACATGTACGTCTTTCCCTCCTCACCCGCATCCGCTGACACGTCATATAACTGAAAACCTAACTCATTCACTCTTTTCCCGAATCTACATTAGGTCCCCAGAAAAAAATTGTTTCTCGTCTTTTCGTGTTAAGGTTGGGTACACAATAAATATCCTCTACTTTTTTAGCATAGAATATATCATATCTAAGAGAACTTCTTGGTATTAGTTGAAACTCTTGTGTTAATAACGTAGCTCTGAGTTGCTGGGGTTGAGACGTTTAATCAATGCTCACACGTCAGCTCGCAAAATATTAAATGTTTGTAAATGCAAATTCCACGCATGAAAATCCCGCCCGTTAACACGGAAATATTTCATTACATCCCGACAGTGTGAAATTCAGCTGTTGCATGTGAACACGTTCTGCAATCTCTCTCAACCCTTAATTATCTGACGTAATTATGACATATATGTATGTTATTGAAGCAGTGATCTTGTACGGAGGATTATTTCCATTTGTCAGTAAGTACTTTTACCTAGCTCATCGCCTGTATCAGCTCATAATGTGTCTCGCGCCTATAGTGAGACGGTCCTATTTTCATATTTTACCTCTACAAAATGTCCCTTTGCGTTCAGTCTGAACCCCAGATACATCTAGAACATATATACCATGTAAACAGTATTGAAATGACCACTTGAAACACTGGAATAATATCATCACCCATAGGGTGTGTACGGAATGCGTTTGACATGCTTAGTTTCGAAAGTGTGCATCGTATTTTCCGCTGCTCTAGTACGGCAGCATGCAGGTGAATGGTTTTCTTCACTTTTTCCACCTTGTTTTAGATACCAACAGTGTAAGAACAATTACCTTCTTTTGACGTATTTTGTTATGATTGGCCGGTGATCTAACCAAGAGACCTCAACTATGTCAGAAAACGTTTGTGTATGTTGTTGGATTTCGGCGTAGGATTATAATGACGCACACATTAATTGTTTATAAAGAGGTGGATATTGTTGAACCAGTCGTCTCCGGCACTGCAATTCGCTCTGTAGACATGCGTCCATTGGTCGTTCAATAATCAGACAAATGTAGCTTCGAATCGCATTTTTGCTATCATATCCCGTCAGAATATATTTGTCGGCACCATATCCATGCTGCTCCCCACAGATGTACAAATGTAGGACATGCATCACACAGGGGTTGCCTCCCTTCGTAAGCTGACACGCCTAAACTAAACTAAAACTAAAATAGCGTTCATAGCTGAGTTAAAATGTAAAGTCATCTCAGGTCAATTACGAGGTTGCGCAGCTCAATATTACTGGAAACTCTGTAAACAAAAGAACAGCCCTTCAGTATAAGAGCTTACAGTTATATCTGACAGAAACCTCTTCTCCCTTGTAACCAAAACATACGGATCACTGTGAACCTAGCATTACTAAGTCCCGTAAATTTCGTAATGTTCAAAATAGACTAGTAAACACTCATAAATACAAAGCACACGATTAATAACAATTTCAGGCCCTTTACAGGTTGTGGACGTATCGCATATATTATCGCTGGAGTGATAAGATTGAATCAGGACTTGATAGAATACTATAAGTGAGACGTACCCTCAGCCTCAACGCACACATTTAGGTCAACTCAGTCCACATTTTTCAGATTTAAGTTTGTCGAAAGTGTAAAGTGACGATGCACCGTCAGTATGTCACATCACACACACTTAATCCCAGAAGGAACACGGTAGAGTACATCCCATGTAGTTCCGTACTCGTTTCAATGAAGAATTAAAGTTCGGGGCCTAGTGGACCACAAATAACTTGATAATTGTTGTTTGTTATATGTCTGATACCAACATTTTAACTAATGCTGTGTAAGAATTTATGTTCGTGCGTAAACGCAAGGAGGTAAATAGGAGAAAATATTAAAGGAAATGTTTATAGTCAGTAATGTTAAACCTGATCTGAACGTCAGGTAAATCTGATACCGTCATAGTAAGCATTGTCCTACAGTTCTGAAGTTACATTTGACTTCACCAAGTGTATAGTGATGTTTCTAATGTGTTGTTTCAGCCTCCCAGAACAACACTGTTGCCCGTGTCGGGGAAAGAGTCCACATGTCCTGGAATGTACTTCCAGTTGTCCCGGAGTTTGAGATTGTGTCTATCACACCTTCTAATGGAAAGCTCAGGCCTGAATATCCCAAGGTCCTGTTCGATGTGGAGGACTATACACATGTGTTTACAACTGACAACACACATACAGAGAACGGGACAAGGATTCAGCTGAGTGTCACTCGATCCCTGCAAGGAAGGACGGTGGTCAGTCTCACATTCCACAGTGTCGACGTGCAGGACACCGGAGTGTACCAGTGTGTTGCCTACAACAGTGACAGGTCTACTAACACATGGAGTCAGCTTCTCATTGTACTGCGTAAGTATCGAGATAATCTGAGTATGATCAGTTTATCGCCCAAATAGACAATTCCATATTGAACACTCGTTTTTGAGACACGATAAAAAGAATATTGTACGAGACATGTAAATGATCTTAGGAGACATATATCAACTGAAGAGATATTTTCTGTCAGTTTAGAAGTTTAGTTAAAGGCAATGTTATTTTAAAAGAATTCGTTGTGGACATTAAGACAGCGAGGGTATTAGCCCCAACACTGGATTATTGGGTATTTGTACTTAGTACGCATTTGTGTGGCAACTACTACGATTTTTCTGGTGATAGAATAGAGATATAATACACTGGATAATGGGGGATGGATCAGTCACATCCATTTGAGATGTGCGTGCGTGCGTGCGTGCGTGCGTGCGTGCTTGCTTTCTTAAGTCAGGATTGAATCTGGTTAAATAATGCTAGTCGGGGGGAAATACCATGTCACAGATTAACATGAATACTCCACTCAGATACAGTATTCTCACTCAGATATATATACTCACTCAGAGCCGACCAGTCCTTGTCTTATACCCTTAATGCCGAGCTTCAGGCAGGGTAACATCAAGTACAATATTTTAACGTCTTTTGTGATGACGCGGCATGGGAACAAATTTCCGGCAGGTGCTCTATACACAAAACAGTAGTTTGACAATGCTTTGTTAATTCCCTATGCATCCATTAAATATCTGTTCGCTTTCGCGGGAATGAATAGGAAACATGTCAGAGATCACATAGAAGTTCTTAGACACACTGACAAACATTCTGACAAGTGTGTATGTACATTATTTACTTAGAAGTTCATTATTATGCCATCCAGTAATGCCGACAGATATCAGACAGTTCTTTTGTCACGTTGTTCTCAGAGAAACCATCAACACCGAACATCAGCACGACATTTGCCGACTCTGTGTCAGGTACTCCTGTGACGCTGACCTGCTCCTCCTCCTCTCGGAGTCTTCCTCTAGACCGGTCTCTGTACCCGTATACCCCGAACACGTCCTACACATGGAGGAGAAACAACAGGAGGGTGGAGAGCGGGGTACACGTGGAGGGGGCAGTCCTGGCTATAGACAACATCACCAAGGGGGACACGGGGGTCTACACGTGTCAGTGTGAAGAAGAGGGCGTCCTGTCAGACTGGAGTCAGGGATACTCTCTGACTGTTCTGTGTGAGTAGAGAAGCTTTTTTGTCAAAACACGTGTTAGTGTTTAAGGCTGGTACCATCACTATTTGATAGTTATTCTTATAAACATGTTAATGATATAGTCGGAATCGTACAATTGACTCTGCTTTTGGCAAAGATTGCTAATGAATATAGAAAGGGATGTACAGCCATGGTAAAGTTCATGATCACAGGTAACAGCTATGGTAGGCCAAGAATCACATTATTTATGTTATTCAGATGGACCGGACACGGTACAATTTAATGGTAACAGAGACAACGTGTCTGCAGTAATAGGTGACCCTCTCACAGTGACATGTTCTGCTGACTGTAACCCCGCCTGCACTGTGACCTGGTGGGACACATCCAGACAGAGGGTGATCACGGGACAGAGGGAGGCTGTGTTGTATATACCAGCTGTAGACAGATCTGTGTCTGGACAGTACACGTGTCACGTCAGCAATACACATGGGAATACATCACGGAGCCTGACGCTGGATATACAGCGTAAGACTATATTGAAATTAAACTACATAAACTTAATAGGAATTACATCTTACCTATTACTTACAAAGAATAATTCCAACGTGTTGACTTCCAAATTGAAACAATAAGTAAATTCAGAATTCAGTGTGTAACCAACAAATAACAAAGACATGATATGATATTGTATTATAGGATTACCTTGGTATGCACATCAACACAAAATACTGCAAAGTAATAACAATGGCAACACCAAAAGTACAAAATTTAAAGTATTTCTTTAAACGACCAGTATGTGTTATGAAACAACTCTGGTAAAATACTAGAACTTCACATCTTGCTGCAATATATATATATATATATATATATATATATATATATATATATATATATATATATATATATATATATATATATATATTTTCAACGGTAACTTGAGAGGCTATGTTGTATACACCAGCTGTAGACAGATCTGTGTCTGGGCAGAACATGTGTCACATCAACAACACGCAAGGGAATACTACATCACGTGGCCTTGACGCTGGAAGTTTTCTGTAAGCATTTCACAACAGTGCTTGTGATAGACTGTAGTTACGGAATCGGTAGCATGGAAGCATTTATTTGGAAAAACATATCATGATCATGATCATGATTCACACACACACACACACACACACACACACACATACACATACACACACACACAGACACACACACACACACACACACACACACACACACACACACACACACACACACACACACACACACACACATTCCTAGAAGTTATCTATGCAGGGGAAAACAAGATTAGAAACATAAAAACTGCACGTTTACCATTTTGCAGCACCAGCACCAGCTGTAACTGGAGCAGGTGTCGTGTCCATCGTCCCTGTGGCTGCTGTCTGTTCTGTCCTGATAGTCACCATCGTTGTGGTCGTCATATGTGTTGTTCGTAGAAAGCAGACACGTGAAGGTAATACTATGTTGTGTGAGAGTGAATGCGCACAATGTGAGAGTCACATTAACTGTACCACGAACGAAATATTTAGAACACTTCTTTCGGAACCCGCCCCCTTGGCAATATCAATAAACCATGTTTGTGTTTTTATTCAAGTTGGTATTTCCGATATCCAAAGTGTGCAGTGGGGCGGTCTTATTGTTGGATGCGCATTTTGAGAAATTAATGCGAAGTTAATTAATGCGAGCTAACACCACTCGCATTTAATTCACGCTCGCGTTAATTTCAAGATTTACAGCATGTGAAGAAATTGGTTGTTTGCACATGCACCAGGCAGTGTAAGCCCGCAAAAGTGACCACAGGTCAAGATATTAGGAAGCGCCCTTCAGTTACGTTGACTACGAATGAGTCGTGTATTTTTTTTATCGACTCATGTCAACGATATAATTATCTTTTCTGACCGCAAATTGTACACAAGATATTCTGGGTTTAAAACTCTTCCTGAAGTCATCACGTTATGTGTTGTGTACAACTAAGGGTGTGTGTCGTCACGCGGAAATAGTTCATCCGAGTCTCACTATTAAAGTAAAGGCAATCAAATGAAAAAGATATTATTATAAATACCAAATACGCGCAACAAGGGCGACACTGTGGTCTTAAGTATTTATTTGGATGAACAGCTTTTATGAGGTTGTTGTTAACCTCCGTGTCATACCAATAAAACAACATGAAAATGACGGTCTTGGTGAGGGTCGTGTGTGTGGGGGTCGGGATGGGGGTTGTAATGATCATTTTTATTATTAATATTACTCGGTCTAATCAATTGTTTAGGTTTCTTCCTTGTAGTTGACTTTGAATAAACGAAGAGACGGCAATGTTTCCCTGTCCTTAATGGCCATCATAAGTAATCATCATGGATCAAAACCGAGTCTGTGTGAGGAAGGGGAATCTGAGACCGGCGTTTGAGGGACAGTATTACTACTGAGGTTACATGCATAACCTTTCACTCTAATAAATACAGTACAGTAAAATACGGTTACAACGAACTCAAAGGGACCACTTATTTTAATTCGTTATAACCATAGTTCGTTATAAGCAAATGTACGAAATATACACAGCAAAAGGACAGGACCAAAAAAATATTTCGTTATATCCGCCAGTTCGTTATAAGCGTGCTCGTTATAAACGTAGTTTACTGTATGTCAGAAAAGATGTTAAGAATAGATGATATGTACTTGACAGTGTCTCCTCTCATTCAACCAAATATAGCATCTCATCATTTCTCTTACATAACTGTTACGATATGCATGAACTGTTCATAAACAGCACGACAATGGAAAATGAATAAATATCGCATGTATACATTAAGTCAATGTCTATATACCCAAATGACCTAACGAAAGAGTAATCGAGATAGTCTGACTTTTGTCATTTATGATGAAAAGCGATTTGAATTTACTTTAGTAATTTAGACGATGTTTGGTCTGGCACTTTTGTCAGTTCCATATTTCTGAACATTTGTGTTCTGTGTGACTTTGCTGTGAAAATCTAACGATCGGCAGGGGACGTTGAGTTATATCCAAGTTACCAGGGAATTCTTTGTAGGTATGATAGAAAACCTCAGTTAAATATGCAATGCAATGTCATGTTGTTACTTCGAACAGATGTATAGCACAGCTGGGCCTTCTGCCAGTAGATATTTATACTGGCTTTTTGATATTAGTACTACTTCTTGGACCCTTTTTTCTACAACTAGGATTAACAGGCAGATAGTGTTGTCTGAAGTTCAAATTATTTATTAATATATCAAATGTATGCAATGATACGATTATTTCGTTTATCTGTTATTTATCTTGAAATATGTATCCGTAATTATCTACACACATTTATAACTTTCAGATAGGGGATACCTTCATAACCGGTGAGTATCTGCTATTCATCAAGTCAAAAGGGTAAAAAATTCATTTATCATCCAAAACTGGCTCCCACAGGAGATATCGCTTGTGTGAGATCAAGCGATATCTACACCGTAGATATCGCTGCAATGACATTGCATCACAATGCTTTGCAGACCATTGTGACGCCACAATCAAATGACATCACTAATGGCTCTACTACTAAAGCTGTTACCAGTACTTTTTACACTTTAGACACTGCTTATTACTGTCTACAAACTGAAAAAGCTGGAAGAATGATGTTGGATGATAAATAAAATCTCACCCTCGTGCCTATTGTTATCAAGCCTCGGAGTTTTCCCACTTTTATCAACTCGTGTTGATATATTTGATATCAAAAGACACTCGGGTGAGATTCTCTATGTAAAAAACAGTGATTTCAATCTGTATCTATACAGTTAAGTTGCCTTGGTTAGTTCATTCTGCTTCAATCATTTTAACGTTCCTCTCCCTTAGCGTGGTCGCATATACCCGGGACGAGGAAACAGACGGAAGCTACCAGGAAATAGAAGGTTGGTGTCCGCAATAATAATTAGTCGTTGCAACGCATTGTCAATTATATAGGATGACGTTTCTTAAATTTTACAGGGTAATCGCGAATGCAAATGTAATCAACCCTTTCTTGAAAACAATTTGTATTCTTTGATTTGAATAACTTTAAATGGACATTCTGTTAAGTCATAACTTATCACTAATATAACATTTATTTGTTTCTGACTTCTGAGAAACGTTTAGCACTGATTAACCTTTTTAAATCACGAGTCACACTGGCTCTTTAACCTCAGTGCAGCTTTATTAAAACTTCTTAATCACGAAAGAGGAAACGAGTCACATATCACAGCATACTTCAACCTATTTACCATTAGGTTCAAGGTATGCAATGATCAGAGTCATCTGTTATTCATCCTGTATTTTGTATACATAATTACCTGCCCAACGTTGTATCTTTCAGAGGGGGGATCCATTCAAAATCGGTGAGTATCCGCCATCGATCTTCAAGTGAAATGAATAAAAAGTTACTCTCTACGCAATGATAAGTCCTTGCGTGGCCATAACTGCGAAACTATATACAAGCTGTTTAACACAATGTAACTTGAAAATGTATCACAGCTTATCTGTAGGCTAACTTGTCTCTATTTTCAATCTTTTTAATTTTTAAATGTCTCCAGCGTGGTCTCATATGCCCGGGATGAGGACAATGATGGGAGCTACCAGGAGATAGAAGGTTGGTGTCTTAAGGTTGTCTACCGGTTTGATTGTGTAATGACCAGGGTTCACTTGAACAAAGCGATCTTAGCGCTAAGACTATCGTAAGCTTTGTTAAAGTATGGGAGTTACGATCATCTTAGCGCTAAGATTCCTTTGTGCAAATGGGCCCTGGTCTTAGCCTTTCGGCTTTAGACGGGAGATAGGTTGACTTACAATAAGTTGTTAGATCAGGGCCCACTTACTCAAAGCGATCTTAGAGCTGAGATGATCGTAACTACCATACTTTAACATAGGCTTACAATGGTCGTAGCACTAAGATCGTTTTGTGCAAGTGGGCCCTGGAGTCAAATCATCAAAGATGGCATACTGTATAAGACGAGAGGAAAATAATTACCATTTGCTTAACGGCATCCATGGAATGCCACTGGACATTAAATCATGAGAGAAACACATTAACGGGTATAAAATACCTTTGCTTCATATAAAGTTCAATAAAAATTAATTTATTCTGAATCTAAAGAATGCATCTTTCAATACATATCCATGAAGACATATCATCGACTTTAATGTCGTGATTCACAATTGCACATGAATTTTCATACACGGCGCACAATTGGGATATTTGTTGGGAGCATGGTACTCACACATGTGTTTTTAATGTAAACAGTTCACAATGAATGTTAAGCTGTCAAGTGCTCAAAAAAAGTTGGAAGACACTTTAATGTTCACTGAAACACAATATTGTTTCTATTGAGACGTTGTCTGCAGCAGCACAACAGTAATGCCACGTGTGACCTCACGTCAACAAAACCAGCAATTCGGTTTGTGTATCGACGGAATCGATACCAAACTGCCACATGAACTGCTCGGACAATTCTTTGGTTGAGACAAATTCGTGCCCAGCCGGTTCAGGGAGGGCAATCTTTGCTGGACATTTGGAACAATATCCCAAGGTTGTATTCAATCATCTGGCGTCTTCAAGGCGTCGTCACTGCCTCGCATGCATCAACGCAAATGGTGGTCACACCCCATTGTTAATTGATTGGTTACAGCACCCCTCTTTTAGGGCGTGTTTCTCTGTCTCCTTTTCCCAATGATGGGTTTTGTGAATGAATTTGTTATGATAAACAATTGGTCAGACGAATGTCCAAACCATATTAATTTTTTAATTACGTAACATTTACATCACTTCATATGAACCACAGTTATTTTCCCCATTAGTATACATATATGCGAAGGTTCTTATGTATTTGTGAAAGGGTGTTATTGATGTAACTGTTCCGCATTTTAGGTAAATATATTTAAACAAATGTTTTGTTATACTTTTATGCGAAATTATTACCTGATTACCTAAAATGCACACAAATCCCTTGATTATTCATATGGAAATTTAGATCAAACAATAACAATTATACAATAACTATCATAAAATAGGTTAAATAGTCTTCATATATCAGCAGACATCCCGAAGTCATATCGTGTTATTTTAAAAGCCATAATATGATCTCTTGATGACACCTTTAAACATATTAGTAAGCCATCGTGAATCATTACCTGGGTTATGTAATACGCCAGGTTCGAGAAACGGATAGTTGTATTGGTCATATGCATTGTCATTTCATGCATTAATTCCTTATGTTTGAGATATGTCACTGCACGGTAGACATTTCCCTGTGAAGTATCATATTAACTATACATGTGTGTAAATTTTGTCTAACACCAGAAGCGGTGAACGTAGACGAAATCGCCCCTCTGGTAGCTGTCTACTCTGTTATACTCACGGCTGTGGCGGTTGTGGTGGCAGCAGTTGCTATTCATGTCTGCAAGGACGTAAAAGGTAAGGAAAAAAATCACTCTCTTACAATTCAATCAACCTTAAGTTCACCTTTTGTCAAGTCTCTAGAAATGCTGAATTCTTGTTTTGTCAGTGTTGTCTTTTTTGGTGAAAATATATGTTTTGCGCGAAGTTTCATTCGATAAAGAATTTGACACGTACAACGTTTCTTTACTTTCAGATGGTCACAGCAGAAGGTACATACATTTTATATTGTTGCAGGTGAAATACTTGAGTTGTATGTTCTAATTAGGTCTCGGAGTAACTTCATATCGTTTGAAAAAAAACACCGATATTTCTCCTGTTTCTATTTAATGCGAAGCAACATACTTTAAGTCACCTGAGACAATGATAATACAATAGTTAAATAAAACAATAGCTGTATTTTCATTTGTATCTTATGATGGTAATTACTCAAATGAATGTATGCTATGTATGTTTTTTACAGGAGGGTGGGAAAATGTGGTTAAAGTTGTGTTTGTTTTAAGTCAGAGATGGATAATTTGTTAGGAACAACAAAGGTGTCCCTTCGTATAATAGGTTGTATTGCCAGCCGCATTTAAACAACACACATGTATCCTTCACCGTCTGTGCAAGTCAATTTCATATGTAAGGTACAATTTGTGATATACGTTTTACCTTGTAATTATAGATTTGGTGAATATCTCACTGTGGTGGGCGAGAGACTATCCTGTGACATCAGTGATGCACCTTGTCCTGCCATCAACGACGAGGATGCCTTATCCTTGCATGATTATGAGCGACTACTAAGGGAACAGTTCAACATCTACACGTGTCTCCACCCTTCGGCTTCCTCCACAGAGGACCACCGTACCAGGTGCAGCCTTATGTGAGGGAACAGTTTCCTATCTACACGTGCCCCAACCCTTCAGCTCCCTCTACACACGTCCTCTGTACCAGGTGCAGCCTATTGTGAGGGAACATGAACAGTTTCCCATCTACACGTGTCTCAACCCTTCAGCTTCCTCTACACACGTCCTCTGTACCAGGTGTAGCCTTATGTGAGGGAACAGTTTCCCATCTACACGTGCCCCAACCCTTCAGCTCCCTCTACACACGTCCTCTGTACCAGATGCAGCCTATTGTGAGGGAACAGTTTCCCATCTACACGTGTCTCAACCCTTCAGCTTCCTCTACACACGTCCTCTGTACCAGGTGTAGCCTTATGTGAGGGAACAGTTTCCCATCTACACGTGCCCCAACCCTTCAGCTCCCTCTACACACGTCCTCTGTACCAGGTGCAGCCTATTGTGAGGGAACAGTTTCCCATCTACACGTGTCTCAACCCTTCAGCTTCATCTACAGACGTCCACAGTACCATGTGTTGCCTAATGTTAGGGAACAGTTCCACATCCACACGTCTGTCCATCCATCAGCTTCCTCTACAGAAGACATCAGTACCAGGTACAGCCTCATGTGAGGGAACAGCCAAAGGGAAACGTTTACCCCGATGTGCGATGCAAGGAAAGCTTGAGGCCCTGATGTGTCATATGCATTGTTTCGATATATCAAGCAGAGGATCACATTGACATTAACATTTATGAAATATTATTGCTTTTAACAGTATTATAGAACATAGCTTGCGGCAGTAGCAGACCTCCAAACATGGTTCTTCTTTTCAACAGTTTAATATTGATTATGTTTGTTTAAAAGTGTACATATTGGTGCAACTAGTTCTTTTATGCCTTCATTATTGTAATTGTCTGTTTGACTGTGTTTGTTTTCATTTATTATTTGGCATCGTTTACTATGTGAGGGTCTCTGGAAGCCTTCTATGATTTATTTTTAACCAATAATCCGGTTGAATTTATTTCTATAGGTTTCGTATTGTCTTACTGTAAATAGTTCCACACTGATATCCTTGTTTTATTCTTGATGATACATATTTGCTTTCATTGTGCCAGTTTTCGTTTCCTACCAAATTGACTGCTTTTTACAAAGAAAATGGGTAAAATGGATCATATATGTATACATACAGATAAAGTTCAGAACAGGGTTATTAAATAATTCCAGTTCAAAGGTTTCTTTTTCAAGTACTGAAATGGAAATATCGAAATTAACTTCTGATGATGTCACTGCTGTTTACAAGGAAATCTGTGCGAAGAATATGGGTATGTCATATATTAATCTGATTTGTAGACTTTGAATAGTTACTTCAGTGGAAATACTAACATTATAAGCTGACATTAAAAAAACGTGTAAATTAATAATTGTTTCAAGCATTTGTTGATGATATATGTTCGTGTCGGTTCTGATTGTACTATTCACACACGTGACAGTTATTGAACTTTCACAACATAAACAACATAACAGGACATTGAAATTGAGGTCGAAATTATAACTCATGGTCTTTCCGTTTATGTATTAATACTTCAACTGATACAAAGAGATAAATGAATGTATTTTAAACCTTTTTTATTTCGTTTCTATTTCCTTCTGACGTACGCTTCTGACAATTCACAATTATAGTGAGGACATGCTCTTTGTATTTATGATACTGATATTGCCTTTTTTAAGCCTTTTATAAAAGAATTTGTGAAATAAATCACTTGAATGTCACAATCATATGTCAAATGCATTCCAAGAAGGAAAGTTTTGATTGAATCGCTTTAGCCATCATGAATACTCAGTAATTGGCAACCATCAATTTGTATGACACACTGCCAACCACAGTTATAGTGATGCATCTATGATAGCATCCTGGGGTGGATTTGAACCAGGCTTTGAAGGTAGGCAGCTTAGGATCGCAGCTGACGATTTGCGATCACGCATTCTTCAATTTGAGAAACAAACGAATATACAGTAAATTTCTTTATAGCATCTGTGTCAATAGACTGATAATGAATGTTTAATCAACTAATCTTGCCTTATTGCAATATTTGTTGGGAAATTAACGCAAGTCAATGCTTGCTATCTGCAAAACAAGGACAAAACTAAGTTTGCAGGAAAGATTGTCTTACCTGACAGCACTGCAACACGCAAATAAGGATAGCTTCAATCGATACAACTGTTACACGCACATACTGCTATTTTCAATCGATACACACGCGAACGCACACACACACGCACACGCACGCAAGCACGCACACACACATTGTTATCTTCGTTTGACACAAGATGCGGTTGTGTAAGCCGTGTGGTTTAAGCAATTGCTCGTCACGCCAAACGCCCGGGTTCTATACCCTACAAGAGTACAATGTGAGACCCATAAGAGAGTGTAATTTATTCAGCTTGTATTTGTATTTTGCTGCTTTCCAAAACTCAGGTGTCTGTACCATGTGATGTACTTGAGTAACATTAGGAGCAACATTAGAATGTGCTCAGTTTACCAAAATATATATCAGAGAAAAGTAATTGCTCATTCATGTCTTTTGTCTCTGGCTCACGGTTTCATACCTGGCTCCCTAGACACAAGTCAGTACAGTAGTAGAACACAAAGTGTTCCACGTGTATCAGCTTCAATATTTATGATGTTTAATTATGTTGAAGTTGACTTGCCTGCAATTTAATCCTAGTTGTTAATCTTTCATCTTTTGTTTTATGTGTGTAACCCTTTTTCTCACGCTAGAGCACGGAGACGGTGATGTAATGTGTTTCAGTTTCTATTTAGTGGGGGCCACGGGTGGCCCACTCGTCTTAGGCGCCGCGATTCGCTGTGCAGAATTGCGTCCCTTTGGTACACCAGAAACCTTTGATTGTGGGATCGAATCCTGGTTCGCATCGATTATGTGTCTAGGTTTATCATCCCCGTTACCCATACCCGTGGGTTTCACCGAAGTGGTAAACGTCTGAGATCTGCATCACTTCGGGCTTTCCGCCCACATTAAGCTGATACGCTGTGATACAACTGGATTACTGTTAAAAGCGGCGTTAAACCCAACTCACTCACTCCCACACCAAACATTGAACATGTTCAAATGGATTAAACTATAATGACATACTGCACCCATCCTCAAAACACCTGAAAACACATCTACAATTGCGACGTTAAACCCAACTCACTCACTCATTCAATTTAGTGTGCAATTAGAGTTAAATGCAGAATTGTTATGTAATGCAAAGTAAGTGATTATGGTTTTACGCCGTTTTTAGCAATACTACAGCAATATCAAGTAGGGGGACACCAGAAATGGGCTTCACACGTTGTACCCATGTCGGAAGCCGAACCCGGGTCTTCTGCGTGACGAACGAACGCTTTAACCACCAGGCTACCCGACCACCATACATGTAGAAATGTCATTATCTAATGGTGTGATAATTATGGCAGTCACGGTAAAACCATGTGATATCTTAGTCATGTGTACTCATGTATTTTACACATAGAGAGTTGACCTTGATACAATGTAAAGCTTCCTTTTCACAAGCTCACAAAAATGCATCAGATGATTAACACGAGGAAGCCTCTCGACAAGCGTGACACATGTTGTAGTCAAAATAGAAATAACATATAAAATAGTTCATACTTCCTTGTATTGACTATGTGAGCTGGTTGGTGACGAGATCAAATGCGAAGTTTGTTCAGTGTTCCCGTTTACCCAAACATATGTATCCCATTATACCTGTTAGCCCTGATATGGTTGAGTCAAAGAAAGAGGACATAAGGTTTGCTTTATACAACAGCCTTACGCGGCATAAGGTGTAGTATCACAACTCTTCATAATGAAGAGAAACATGTCTTGAATAATTATATAATTTATTCACACAGACATCCTAGAGTGAGTGAGTGAGTATGGTTTTACGCCGCTTTTAGCAATATTCCAGCAACATCACGGCGGGGGACACCAGAAATGGGCTTCACACATTGTACCCATGTCGGGAATCGAACCCGGGTCTTCAGCGTGACGAGCGAGCGCTTTAACCACTAGGCTACCCGACCGCCCCCAGACATCCTAGAGTCGTTCACACACTTTAAACATGGCCGCCGACTGACGCGTTCACTTACTGTTGGAGATTTAACTTGCGCTTTCCATTATGCGTTTTTTGCATAGGGGTGACACGTTCGGGAATGTTCTCTGTATTTAGTAGAGAGATCTTTATACTCAAGCCCCTGAGTCGGCACGAGATAGTTGCTGATTTGGTTGATGCATGTCATCGTATCCCAATTGCGTTGATCGATGCTCACGATGTCAATCACTGGATTGTCTGGTTCAGACTCGATTATTTACAGACCTCCGTCACGTAGCTGAAATATTGCTGAGTGCGGCGTTAAACAACAAACAAACAAACACTAAATTATATATAGCGTCTGTCTAGATAGTCGCAAGTCAAATATCTAACGGTTCACTGCATATGGCTAAAAGACACAAACATTTCCCTGTTGCCCTACGTGCCTAACCCAGATGCCATCTCGCGTGACAGTCCTAAACAGTAATGACCAGTGGACTGTACTGTGGGAACTACTGCTAACCAGCTTTAGTAGCACAGAGACCGCCTCCGTGGTCTAGATGGTACTTGTTGTTACCCTGTCTGACGCTCGGCATTAAGGGGCTAAAACAAGGACTGGTCGGCTCGGAGTCAGTATACTGTGTCTGAGTGGGGTATTCATGTTAAACTGCGGCATGGTATCTCAGTGAGATACTAGTACACACACACACACACACACACACACACACACACAAATACACACACGTCCATGCACGTCGCTATATAAGTGCAATAATCTTGGACGCGACGTTAAACCCCATCCCCCCCCCCCCCCCCCCCCCCTCACCTAGTAGCAGAGACATTAGTTATGTCATTTGAATGTGACGTCATCATGATATGATATTTACAATACGGAAACACATTCGGCTATAAATCTCCTTTTCTCGGTAAATTTCAGATGATATTTCCTTTTATTTTTGATAAATTCAGTCCTGCCCCAGACTGAAGCACATGTAGCAAAATGCGGTGTGTCCTTGGGCAAGTGACCGCTGTCCTATAGCTGGAATATTGCTGACTGCGGCGTTAAATAACAAACACATCACTAGTCACTAACTACAAGAAAAACAAACATTGTATTTGATGAACACATTACGCATTTGTCATGAATTAGACCGTTATAACCTTTACGATAACTTATGTGGCTTATTGTCGCGATTTTGTTTATTTATTTTGTTCACAGATCAAGTGATGCTACAAATGACACCTGCAACTATGTTAAAACTTCAGCATGCTTCTAACCGTTTGTATTGTATCGTTCATATCTGTAGGAGCTTTCTGCTTATTTTTACCACAGAATAACAAGTGGTAGTTTACAGCTTACTCTTCGTTAGCTTGTAGTTTAGTGTGTTAACGATTTTACGAGCGCTTCTAGTGCTTCCTTTCCCCGGGCACCCCGACAACCTGAGAGATGATGAGGATGAATGTAGACAGCAGAGTACCCATAGCGCTACTAGAACAATATGTGTCATCTGGGGGAGTGGGTTGCCAGTGGTTTAAGGAAACATAGTAAAATTGATGTAATTTGGGTCAGCTGCTTTGTAGGAGAGTATTATTGATATCTTTATTTTGGTTGAGTTTTGAGGTTATTTCACAGTTTTGTAGTAAAGGATAGTTATAAAAGGCAAAGGTAACTGTGAATATGTTAAAATTATCATTTAAGTTTTAGAGGTATCTAACTCTTCTCTTCTATACTTTAATTTTGATTCCAACTTCCACTGAAACGGTGCTAATCAACCCTGATGTCCTGAAAAGTAGCTTTGTGGTTTTGCAAGATTGTTTCAAGACAATTGAGTTTGTGAAGTTTTACAGTCATCATGTTATTATTAATTTTAATTCCATTTTGTTCTATGTGTTTCTGTGATTTGAAGACTTTGGAGCAGGACACAAAATGTTAGTAAATGAACTACCTTTGGTGAACAACACATGTCCTAAATTGATTAATCAGAAACCAGTCTTTAAGATATCAGCGAAAACAGCCATTCAAATCTCTGTTCACTTGTGCCAGGACACCGGAGTTTATGTTGCTAACGGACAGTTAGAAATCAGGCATGAGGCATGTAACTAATCTGCACGTGTTGAACCACCCATTACACATCGACACGTCCTAGCCAGACGCCAATTGTGTTTAGAGCGTTTACATTGGGAAAATCGGCAATGGTCTCGTGTTATGTAAGTAGGTACAGATTCATTGTGGACTTTCTGGTTAGGCGTGGCTGATTCTGGGGGCGTCAACGTTAGGCAGCATGACAGATATGGAAGTGGGTCTGTAATGATATGGCGCGGGATCCCTATGAATGCCAGAACGCCAATGCATAGTATCCATGGAATGGTCACTGGACAGTACAACCGAGACAACATACTGCCGCCAATAGTTGTGCTGTTTGCGTGCCATGCTGATCCATATTTTTGGCTTTTAAGATAATAAGGGTCATGCACACTCTGAACATATCGTAACTGAATACTTCCACCAGCAATGACCAGTCAAGTGTCCTTACCTTTCCCCCTTACAGCATGTATGTGACATGATCTTGAGACGTAGACGCCGACATCAAAGGCCACTCATTAAGTTAAGTTAACTAGATCCAGAGGCTCCCTCAAATTGTCATTGGGAGATCGAATTGGACCATGCCACGACGTACAAACGAATGTTTTGACTATTTGTGGGGCATTACCCATTTTTGATCAAGTCTTCCCAAACTCTTATTTTTTTACTTCACACTCCTGTAGTCTTTCTTGGTCGCTAGCCTTTCACCGCCTTACACCGCCAACATGTTCTGTCAAGTTGTC